AAATATTGATATTTTTGTCCTGATTTGTAGGAATCTGAAAAACACGTTTCACAACTTGTGTCTTATTTAGTATTATGCGTCATTCAAGATGGCGGCCCCCATATAGTAAATATCGTATTTATTTTATTATCACGTGTGCGCCAGCTGACTGTGTTCACCACCACGATTATGGTGAATTGGCGAATTATCAACGAAGACGACCGGACATCTCCGATCATTAGCTGGCTGGTTCGAATTTATCCACTTTTACAGTGATGAATATTGCGTTCGAGTTGAGTTACTAGTAATTAGAAGCCTGATTTACATTTTCTTTTAGTTTTTGTTCGTCAATGTATTAAGTATAAGTGCGCTGGGAAATAGCATAATCATATTGCGCGAGTGAAAGAGGCTGGTGAGACTGTGTCACAACGCATTCTATTTATTTTCAACGCACGTGGTCGGCGCCTCTGATTGCGTTTATTTTGTATTTTTATTTTCGTAATGTATCACCGGCTGCGTTTTTTTTTGTTATGTCTCGCAACTGAACGTCCAAGCTGACCTTGTTTTGGCTGTATTTTGTATTATCAATGGGACTGATATAACGCGACGCACTGTAACATGGCGTGATTGTTTTATTATCAATGGGACTGATATAAAGCGACGTACCGTAACATGGTGTGATTGTTTTATTATCAATGGGACTGATATAACGCGACGTACCGTAACATGGCGTGATTGTTTTATTATCAGTAGAACTGATATAATGCGACGTACCGTAACGATTTTTGTTATTATCAGTGGGACTTATATAATGCGATGTACCGTAACATGTGACAATTTTTTTTATTAACAGTGGGAATGATATAGCGATTTTAACGTGACGTAGAAATACAACATTTTAGAGAGCTGTTCAGCAAGCGATATAGAATTCTTAGTAGTTAACTGATAGCTAGACTGAATCAGAATGACTGAACTGTGCTTTGCTCCCTGGTATGAGTGTGTGAACGACATATTCATTGTTCATAATATTGACCACTTACGTACGGGCGGTATCATCAGTCACGTACTCACTTCTATTCAAGTTGTTAACACCTTCTTTTAGCCGTGGATTTTGCGTAATTTTGCGCATAAAGTACGAGAAGTCGTGCATTTAATATGGCGACAAAGTGAGGCATATTGCTACATTGTTACCTTCCGACTTCTGTTCTATATTTATTCACGTAACTCCCCATGGAAACACATTCAAACGAACAACAAAAATGCGGGCCCTGAGCGGAACTGAAATGTATTGCTCAACAACCAGAAGCACAACGTACAAAGAAACAGTCACACATAATTTGTTTACTTACTGATAGACAAATAAAACTATTTTGTCTGCCTACATAAACTGCTACATAAATTTTCCTCTGTCGATTATCATTCTTAATTCATTACGCGACAAGATAGTCAAACATTCGTGCATTTAATATATTAACATTAGATATGAACACGTATCGAATATAATTTATGCCAGGGCCGGATCGACTAAACTGTTTTGGTGCCGGAACGTCCAAACCAGGGCCGGAACGTCTTTTTTTTACCAGGGCCGCAACCGACCAGGTGCCGGATCGTCCTGGTACCTTATCGAAATAAGTCTCAAATATTTGTCCACACATTTATTTTCACAATTTAACAACTTGTAATGGTTAACGTTAATTAAACGGGACTTGTCTACACCAAAATAAGTCTCAAATATTAGTCCATACATTTATTCTCTCAATTTAACAACTTGTAATAGTGTAAAATTATTAAACGAGAGTTGTCTACACCAAAATAAGTCTCAAATATTTGTCCACACATTTATTTTCAGAATTTAACAACTTGTAACGGTGGAAGTTAATTAAACTTGACTTGTTTACACCAAAATAAGTATTAAATATTTCTTGAGACATTTATTCTCTCTATTTAACAACTTGTAATTGTGGTAATTAATCAAACGCGAGTTGTTTACACCAAAATAAGTATTAAATATTTGTTGAGACATTTATTCTCGCAATTTAACAACTTGTAATTGTGTGAATTAATCAAACGCGAGTTGTTTACACCAAAATAAGTCTCAAATATTTGTCCACACATTTATTCTCACAATTTAACACATATTTGTTGGGACATTTATTCTCTCAATTTAATAATTTAATAATGGTGTAAAATAATTAAACTAGATTTGTTTAATCAGTTGACATGAATGCAACTTACTCGCAGACAGTGCACAACAGAGTATCATTATTGAGCAATTATTAACAGGAACGTGTCTTGGCATTAGGTTTAGGGTCGGGTCAGGTATGGGCAACAGAATTATTAACAGGAAGGTGTCTTGGCATTAGGGTTAGGGTCGGCTCAGGTATGGGCAACGCAAATGGCAAACACCCAATTGGCAAGATGTACACTAACGGGTTATGGCATGCATATAGTTACACAAGTAACACATCCAGTCAATCCATTGTGGTCTTGTGGTTCAGTTATCTACATAGTGATCAGGAGGATCCCTGGTTCAATTCACATGCCTGCCCGTCTTTTCTCGCAAACCCTAATTTGCAATAAAGCAACTTCTGTATATCAAGAACTCGAGTCAGAAAAACGGAACACAAGAATATTACCTCACATGTAAGCCCCCTAAGGATTGCTAATCCCCCTTTCTAA